ATTTTTTGTGAATTTTTTGGTACACATATGAGTTTTTAATGAATTTTTTAAGTTAGGCCAATTAGAAATGGACATGTGTCAACTTGCTATTGGACCATTTAAAAAAAAATCAAAAGTGAGAAGCAGAGTCTTTCTTCTTCCTCGAAGAGCCTCTGCAACTCTAACTTTAATTCTAGAAAAACTTCAAAAATTCATAACTTTGGTTGTGGAGCTCCGATTGATGAACCGTTTTCTCCTACATGCTCGTGAGATCGAGCCCAACAATCTAAGGTAAATATTTAGAGTCTCACACAGCAGCAAACAAAACAACGTCTTTGAGGCATTTAGTCGAACAATTGGTGGGCAATAGCGAAGGGGCAAATTCTGACATCCCCAGGAAGTTTCCGGCGAGGAGAGGTGCAGCTGCACCTCTTTGCTCCTCTGTGGATCCGCCTGTGTTCTCAACCATGATATCCGAATAATTTAGTATGACACTTGACCTTGATGAATACTCTGTTACTAGATTCGAATGGGTTTGTTGTTGTATGATAGTGTATTAGGGTGTATCAGGGGTATTTTTGGTAGTTAAATAAGGTGCACTAAGTTAATTTTATATTTTGATTTAAATAGAGTTTTTCTATTTAAACCCCACACGTTTCTTTGTTAACCCCAATACTTAAATCATTAAGCTTTTAAGTTTTATTATTGTGTAAAAAGATAAAAAAGGTCATCCAACTTAATACTTAATCCTAATACATCTATACACACACCCCACACACCTCACCACTCTTCATATTAAGTTTTAGAGAAACACAAACTCCTCTACACCATATTGTCAAATTACTCTTCTTTTTTTTCAATCTAAGAAACCTACTACACTCTCATCTTCTCTTCACAAACCTTAAATACGGGTATGCAAATAGTGGCTTGTTGTAATTCTAAGGTTGAGGTGAACTTAGAGTAGTAAGAGGCAAGATAATGGGGTGTGGGGTTGATGAGTTTGTGTGTATTTAAAGTTAGTTTGGGAAGATAGTGGAGTGTTCGTAGAAATTTAGAAATTTAGAAATTTAGAATTAGAAGTTAGGGTGAACTTAAAATATGGGGTGAATAAAGAAAAGTGCATGATTTAAATAGAAAAACTCTTAAATATTAAGGTGTACTTAAATTATATGGTGTATTTAATTAATTTTAGGGTTCATTTAACAGTACTCTTCAATAAAAACAACCTTCATTGACAAGATTGTTTGCATAAATAATTGCCTAATTTTTTCCTTGAATAATGCTACTCTTACCACATTTGTATACCACATTCTCATACCACCTTATGTGGCAGCTGATGTGGACAGCCACATCAATTAAAATGATTTAATATTTTCTTTTTTTTATGGTTTATTCCAGTATTTGTTTTTCTAATTGCCTTAATTAAAATGCACTTCATTGATTTAATTGATGTGGCATATAAAATGGACATGCCACATCATGTGGTATAGAAATGTGGGAAAAAAATGTGGTAAGTGTAGCATTACTCTTTTTCCTTAGGGGGTACAACAGCCCCAGCCTCGAGTAGTCCTTAAGTATCACACAAATGTATTTATTTATTTATTAAGTAGCCCTCTTAAATCATAATTATTTTAACAAATCAAACAGATATTTTATTAAGACGAGTAAACATCATAACATAATGAGCAAGGAGTAAAAATGGGCCTTTTGAGCCTTCGCTCAACAATTTTATTCGCACTTCGACGCGTATTCTAAGCCTATTCTACGCGTATTCGACGCTAATTCGATACGTATTCGACGCTAATTCGACACGTATTCGACGGAATATATACGGTCGTCGTCACCGCGAAACTTAGGACTCGATTTTGAAATCACATCTAACCCAATCCGCTCTCTGATCTGGACAAAAATTAGAAACTCTACAATTTACGCTCCGTGGCCGTCGACTTCGTTCTTGTCTTGATTAGCTCTTCAATTCTCTTGCGTTCTCTGAATTCGTTTTGGGCGTTCTCTGGGTTTGATTCGGTTTTCGGCGGGCTTCCATCTTTGGCTTCAACGGCTGCCGGAAACCCTAGTTTTCCAACGGTCAGAGATTAAAACCCACTATTCAATTTCCCTTTTTTCTTTGGTGTATTCTTATATAATTTACTTTTGGGTTTATTGAATTGAACCTAACGATTTGTTTGCAGGCTTTGATTTTGTGCACCTGTTAATCCACTTGCTGGGTTTTTCATATTCTCTCTGTTTCTTTTTTGTTTGGGTTTTGCATACTGAGTGATCCATTTGCAGGAGTTCTTATTTTTTGCTTATTGTTTTGTTGGATATTTGCAGGATATTTGATCTTTAATCTCTCTCTCTCTCTCTCTCTCTCTCTCTCTCTCTCTCTGTGCTTTTTTGTTATTGTTTTCATTTTTCACATATATGTTATCTTGTCGCATCTTAACATAACAATGAGGTCTAGATGCCTCTTGAAGAACGGCTTCTTCAGAAAAGGAATTCTCGGGAAAATTTGGACAGGTTCATACCAAATAGGTCTGCAATGGATTTTGATTTTGCGCATTACATGCTTACTCAAGGTAGGAAAGGTAAGGAAAACCCATCTAGATATGGAAGAGACTATAGGAAGCAGTTGGCAAAGGCTATGAACTTGAATCGCACTAGAATCCTCGCTTTCAAGAACAAGCCTTCTCCCCCCCCTGTAGAGCTCTTCCCGAGCAACTTCTCTTCTTTCCCACAGGATAAACCGGCAAACTCTAAGCCACAGAGACATATTCCTCTAACTCCAGAGACAACACTGGATGCTCCTGACCTTATTGATGATTATTACCTGAATTTGTTGGATTGGGGAAGCTCCAATGTTATCGCAATAGCTCTTGCAGACACAGTTTATTTGTGGGATGCTACTGATCATTCGAATTCGGAAGCGGCCACATTTGAGGTTGAAATGGGACCTGTTACCAGTGTCAGTTGGGCTGTTGATGGACGCCACATTGCTGTTGGACTGGATAATTCTGAAGTACAGCTATGGGATTCAACTACTAAGCAGTATCTGAGAACCTTGAGAGGTTGTCACAGATCACGGGTAGGCTCACTAGCATGGAACAATCACATTCTTACTACTGGAGGAATGGATGGCCGCATTGTGAACAATGATGTAAGAATTAGATCGCACATTGTTGAGACATACAGAGGACATGAACGAGAGGTTTGTGGGCTTAAGTGGTCGGCCTCAGGCCAGCAATTAGCAAGTGGAGGAAATGATAACCTGCTCCATATATGGGACAACAGATCAGTGGCACCAACACAGTGGCTTCACAGGCTTGAAGACCATACAGCTGCTGTAAAAGCCCTTGCTTGGTGTCCTTTCCAGAGAAATTTGCTAGCTTCTGGTGGAGGTGGGAATGATCGGTGCATAAAGTTCTGGAACACTCACACAGGTGCTTGCCTGAACTCGGTTGACACTGGCTCTCAGGTCTGTGCTTTGTTGTGGAATATGAATGAACGAGAACTGCTTAGCTCACATGGGTTTACTCAGAATCAGCTTACTCTTTGGAAATACCCATCAATGGTTAGAATTGCAGAACTCACGGGTCATACGTCTAGAGTCCTTTATATGGCACAGAGCCCAAACGGTTGCACAGTAGCATCAGCAGCTGGTGAAAGACTGAACTTTTGGAATGTTTTTGGGGACCCTGAGGAGGTTAAACCATCTCCCAAAGAGCCTTTTGCCCATGTGAATCGTATCCGCTGATCAAGAACATGAGAAATTACATCAGATGGAGATTTTATGGACCAAAAACTACAATCGGGTATGGGACGCAGAACTGGAACTTTGATCAGTACTATTCTTTCTAGTGCAAGTTGGGATGAAATGAAAAGCTTGAGCGAAAGTCTCAAACAGTGGCAGTGCTTACACGAGCAGCGATCTTAGGCCATATTATTTCTCAATTTCCCTGTATGAAGAGTGATGGGAAATTGGAAAACCTTCTCAGTTCCACTGTATAAAGAGTGATGGGAAATAGGAAATCTTTTTATTATTTAGGTAGTAATGGATTTCAAGAAATCCTTGAAATCATAGACATCAATAAAGCTAGAACTTATCTCTTTTCCCAGCAAAAAAGAATTCCAATTTTGGATTCACACCCTTGCCCCCCATATATTGCTCTTGGTTGTATCGTTGATCACTCCGATTAGGCCGACCCCAGTATGCCACATGCCTTGTTTCTCTCTTCGATGTGCCACCGAGACCCAAGGGGGAACTTTGCTTTTGAAGATTCAAGTAATGTGGAGCTGTTGGTGCTGCAGACAGCTTAATTAGTACTAGCATTTGCCCAGTACCAGCATGCTGTATTAAACTAGCTCACTAGCTGCAATGACGTTGTTAATGTTCTTCCTTAACATTTCCTGCCTTTTTTGTGGGTAGCGTGTTCCCTGAATTTTCAATCTCTCCCCATAAGGTTTCTCATCAACAGTATTTGCTAGTGAGCTTGTGTGAGTTCTTCCAAGCTTGAATACGATTATCATGTTTGTAATTTTGGTCAGTAAATATAGTACACGCTTAAACTTTCCACTTAGCATGAGCAAGTACAACGGATGCTCTTTGAGATGGGGATAATCAATTTCAATCCCACACTTCCACAGAAAAAAATGAGTTAAAGGAAAAGAAAAGAGAGAATTTGTGCTTTGTGTCAAAAAAAAAGCGTTAAGTCCTTCATAAACGAATATAATATTTGTTTTTTTAAAAGTCAAACGAGATCTTTTAAAAAAAGCGAAAAGGATTTATATACGAAAAAACAAAAATTACAACGGTTATCAGGTTGAAGACTTGCAGACCGCGAAATCAAAACCCTATATATACCTCTCTGCTTAGGAAATTAGAAACCCCACAACTCTATTCTCAGTTTCCATTTCTTCTTAAATTTTTGGCCTTCGGGTTCGATCCAAATTCCACTTCCTGTTTGTTGGTGTTCAATTTCTTTTTTGCATCCTGGGTTTGATCCGTTTTGGGCAGCCGTGAATCTATGGCTTCCAACATTGAAGGTATGCTACAAATGATCAAGCCTGGGTTTCAAACCCGCAAGCCAAGGATGCGAGTTATGAAGCACCCTCAGGCTTTCCAATTCAGAATCCCAGAATCAGAACCAGAAGAATGTGATCTCATGGATGAAGATGAATTATATGCCTATAGTTATGAACCTGTTGCCTTGTCTTGTTCTGAAATTAAGCCTTGCAGTCCTTGTGAGGCCTCTTCTTCCACGGAAGGTAGCTCTGCTCTTCATTCAGTTTGTGCCCCATCTCTGGATGATGAAGATGATGAGGGAGAAAGCCATGATCTTGATGAGATCAACAGCCCACAGAGTGGACTTTGTTTATGGAGTTTCAATTGATGTAAAGGATACTTACTGATGTTGCAATTGTTATGTTTGTAACTTTTTTTGATCCAATTGAAAGCTTATCTTTCGTTTTCCAAATATAAAAAATGATTATAATGAGCCTCAGTTTTAATCTGTGCATGATCCATTGCTTGGTTTTGATTTGAAACAAGATGTTACTGGCAAACACCATCATCATCAAGACTCTGCTTGTGCAGTACTGAAATCTATTCTGAATTTTTTTCATATGCGTTGAAGGAAAAGAAAAGCACACCAAGAAAATTATCTTTCGTTTAAGTGGCTCACTTAAATCATAAAAAATCATTATTATTTCAAACGAAAATCATACGACAATGAATGATCATACAATGACATGATCATATAACCCTCAATTCTATCCCTTGCTTTATTTCCTGCGCTCATCATCATCTTAGTTGATACTGGTCCAAGAGAAACAAGACAAGTCAGCAAGCTTTTTTATATGTAGCAGAATACATAAGTTAATTAGGCCTTTGCAGGCTTTACAATTTGGTGGCCTCACTTGATCTCCTCAATCCAGGATTTTCAATAAAATTTTGTTTGGATCCAAAACCACCCTCAACTTATACTTAAAATTGGTTATAGGCAGTCCAAAAAAGATGACAAATGAGAAGAACAGAAAGGAAAAGAGGCATGTACGCACTGATCAATATTATCTAAGATTAGTAATTTTGCTTTTGTTTTTGGAAATGGAACAACGAAGTATGGACAGAATTCCAATTCTTTGATGCGCTATGCACACGTACTAGTAAAAATTATCAACCTGGTTATAAAACAAAATGATTTAACTGGAATCTTTGCTTTTTCCCTCCACTTTTCTCAATAGAGTAATGTAACTCATAATATTGGAAATTGAATAAATATAAAATTACGAATATTTTTGCATTGGAATTTCCTTTTAATTTTTCCAGCTAAAATTATGGACACAATTGCAATTGATCATTGGAACTTGAAGCCATACAAAGAAATAAAATCTAGCGAGGATATGTTTGTACTGTGCTCTACGATTTTGTTAATCCAACTCTTATGCCAATGATGACGAAAATCTACCAAATTCGTTCGGGAGTTATTCTGTCACTTTTTGGGGTACACCTCATACGTGCTTTGTTATATAATTATTTTTAGTAATTTTAAGTGATTATGGGGAGAAATTCTTCCCATGTACTTTTCCATAAAAGTGATTATTGATCAATTCAGAATCACTTTCAAACGAACCATCATTTGAAGTAGAACAAGTAAGCCAAAGTCAACTTAGCTAGTTAACAAATAATTTATCTGGAAGAAATCATTTTGCATATCAACTTTGAAAACCGATTATATCTACTTTTTAATGTTTGCTTTGTAGGATCTTATGTTGCTTGCTAAGTATTATATGATAAATTTCGTCTGGACAGAAAAACGCGAAACCGAATAGGGCAAGTTGAGCCATCTTTTTCTTATATCTTATGAAACAAAACTCATAACAAATTGACAATAAAAAAAGGGTCCATAATGATCATGTACAAAAACAAGGGTGGAATTATAAAAATAAAAAAAGCCCAACGCTTTACATAAGGGATTGGGAATCTCCATGTCTAAAAAATATAATAAAAATTATTAATTGGTTTCATGTGGCATGGGGAAGACTGTAGTGTTGAGTTCATTTAGCCATTGATCAACAACGGCTAGCTGGCTCATCTCAACCATCTCTACTAGGCTTTCGCTACCCGACTCGGCTCCAGCCACCGAGCCAACTCCGGTGTTTCTCCTTTTTGGCCTTGGCGACCCACTGTCTGAAGAGGAAGACGAAGAGGAAGATTCCGGTGCCCGCCGCTTTGGGGTTATTCTAACCGGCTCGCATCCCTCCGAGCCAATAAGGTGAGGGAAGTTGAGCTTGGCTTTGGAGCCTCGCATCTTAAAAGCGGCTTTGTCATAAGCCAATGCCGCATCCTCCGCCGTCTCATAGGTCCCAAGCCACACTCTCGCCCCGTTCTTCTTAGGATCCCTAATCTCCGCCGCATACTTCCCCCACGGCCTCCTCCTCACTCCTCGAAAGTGCCTGCCCGATGACGGCGCGTGAGTTTCACGTACCACCTCTATCCCTTCCAAAACCACCTCCTGAGGCTCCGGTTTCATGGGTGTGGTCTCAACAACTTCAATGTGGCTGTGATCTGATGATGGACTACATCCGTTGTCTGTGGAACCACTGTAAACGACCACGTCGTTATTGTAGTCCACTTTCAGAGGCATGTCGCTCCAACTCTCCGCCGAGAAAAGGGCACTGAAACTGAAACTCCGGCAGAACATAGGAGGAGGGCTGCCTGAACCTGTCGGCGACGATTCTTCCAAAACGGTATCGAAATTATCGTCGAGAAGGTGTTGCCGAATAGACTCCAAGAGAGCAAAATCAGACTCCAAACTAATCTCTCCAAACATTTTTGGATGAAACTGTTCTTAGGTTTTTGATTCTTAAGCTTGTAAAACTAGATTCGAATGGCTTAGGAGGGTTGATGTAGCTGTTGTGGCTCAGGCTCTGTGTGTGTTGTGTGTATTTATATGTGGGCGGTGCATATATTTGTTATTTTATTCACAGTAGTGCTGTCATTGCCATGAAACTTCATTGATCTGCGGAATAATTTAGTCACATGCATTACATGCTTAAAAAAATTATTTGTGAATTAAATAAAATATTAAAACCCAGGGATAGATTAATCTATTGGCCAGTGGCTCAGTTTACCTATTTGTTTACAGAATCTGAAAACAGTGATCACAAGAGGCCAAAAAAATGGCTGATAGTGGCAAGTTGCAATAGGGCACAGGTCACCCTGAATTATTCTCTCTCAATGTTGGCGGGTGGTAGCATGAGTGCATGATCCATGTAGTAGTCCAATAACATCTCTAATATACATTGCTTGAGATAAGAACGATTAATCTCCATAATCAGATCTGTGTTTTTTTCCTAGCTAAAGAACAAAACTTATCGCTTATTAGTTAATTAAAATAATTGGAGATATATATCAAAACAAAACTAGCTAATTATTTCGTTAGGTAATAGGTACTAGTTATTAGTTGCCCTAACTTCTTAATTAAAAAATACCCTTCCATTCTGCTAAGGAGGGGGAGTATTATATTGGGTTCCCTCAAGATTGTCTATCGAACTCGGGTACTTAAAGAGAAAGGAAAGAGTTTGGCCCACTTTTCCACTGTTGTGCCATCTCATGAAAGCACCACGATCGTTTTAATGGTGTAGCAAATTAAAAGCACCACGATTATAGCATGGTATAGATTAAAAAATATATATCTGTAAATGAATCGCACATGTACCAGAATAATGTCTATTTATATTGGAACCTAACAGATAAAGGAAAATAACTTAGCAAAAATCTCTAGAAAAATGTACACGATGCATTATGAGTCTAAAGGAAATCTCTAACACACGTTTAAGGCAGTCTCCAACCTTTATTTAATGCCAGTTGCAATTCAATATCCCTGAGTCCACCTATACATGAGCTGAGATCGAATCTTTTTCATTGATTTTACAAAAACTTGTAAGTAGTTGCAGGGGACTTGAAAGACAGGCCAACCGCACATTATGCTTATTCCGTTTACAATTATAGTCCAATCAAAACTAAAATTAATAAGAATCAAAATATCAAGATTGAGAATAATGGGATTCCAGCAAACTGTGTCCTATTGTATTTGTATCTTGCCTGACCTTTTAATCCTAAAAAAATTTGATATTAATTTATTGAGTTGATGCTCTATATAATGCAACAAAACTGTGTTGTTCCGAAGCAATATGCATATATACCTTTGGCCATACCAAATGTTGGTTAGTAAAACCTTTTTTTTTATTTTTTGGAGAGAGAACTAATTAGAATATCTTTCAACGATAAGAAGAGAAGTATTCATTATGGGAATGAATTCGTTAGTCTTCTTAAAAGACTTTTGTGCCCTGAAACTATGAAAGAAGATGATCGTCAGTCTTTGAGCACAACGGTGTAGTGTAAGCCAAAGAGCCTCTGATGCCTAAGCCAATTTAACTGTAGAAAAATAGGGTTAGTTAAAGGAACAGTTACCTTCTCAAAGAGGTGGATGGTTGTTTATATTTAGCTCTTTGGCAACTCATTTATCACCGTAGGAGGCTACGTGTTTGGCACTAATTGGGGGTGATGAACTATTGATGTGCATTTCAAGTCATTTAGCTGTTTAACTTTGGACGTGTGAGATATTTACCCAATGTGGGTGAGCATCCTAAATTATTGCAGTTGCAGTAATTGGGAAAATCTCCAAAATTTGGTTAATGTTTTAGAGGTTTGCTTCCTCATTTAGGCCTTATCTAGCCGAAACTAAGCTTGTATAGGTGTTTGGGCTCATGCTGGGCTGGCTCGCTTGTGGGCCTTTATCTAACGTAAAGCCTTGCAAGGCCTAGGAGAGGCCTTGAGAACAAGCAGGCAAAGCAACCGCCTAGGGGCCCAAATTGAAAGGGACCTCAATTTGTTTAAACATGTATATATACATATCTATGTTTTTTATTATTTTTTAAAAAAAATTGATATCAGTATTATGTTTATGTTAGGCCCAAGTATTGTAAAAAAAACCTTGCCCAATGATACAATTCAAAATCAAAAATAGGAAACTCAATAAAGGCCCAATTATTTTTTAAACTTATAGCTTAAGTCAATTAACCCAGTTGAATAAACTATGCAATAAAATATAAGAGAATGATATATTCAACACCAACATCAAAATTGCAAGGAGCTAAGGCAATTGTCAACTTGATTATATGTTGTTAGGTTCTGTTTAGCTAAGATTTTTAGTTTTCCTTAACAAACTTGTAATCTTATATGTAATCAAACAAGCTTAAGTAATTTAGGCCAATTTAAGTCTGCACTCAATATGATTACAGCAATAGAGATCAACCTTGTCATGGTGTTAATGTATGCATTTTGAGTTTTTCTTTTGGCTTCCCTTAACAATTTTGTAATAGGATTTTTATTGTTTTTAACAAGCTCAAGTATAGATTAAGAATAGCTTTTCTAGGTGTTCTTAACTAACAACTATCCTATGGAGGTTCAAGCAAATTGACAAAAGTAAATTGTGCATTGCATCACATTGCATTAAATTGATTTCACAAAATGATGACTTGTCATCTGTTTCTCGTATGACTAGTCATCCTTGCTATGTAGGATTTCCAACTAGATAACCAACTATTTTGTCCTATTCTCCTTTCTCTCTCTGCTGCCATGTGTTGATTCTGACCTAGGGAATTTTTGGGGTTAAAGGCCAAAGGATTCCTTATTTGGCAGCCATCACTTTGGGGGACAAGTTTTGGAAAGTTTCATGGTAAACTTTCTATTCTTCTTCCTCAAGAGTAACCTTCATATTTTTCATCTTTGAGTTTTCCAAATTGTTTCTTTTTGAAAACTGCACTTGAAATATGAAAACTTCATCTTGCTAGATCAAACACTCTATTATATATATCTAGATCAGATTCAAGATTGATTTCTTCAAGAGTATGGTTTCTTGAAGAAATTGGTCATTTTCTCCATGAATCCAAATTTCATTTCTGTTTGAGTTAGAGCTTGCAAGCTAATGCCATAAGATGAAAGAGCTGGAGAAGGAGGTGTCATTTCTATGAAGAACTGAGCTTCAAGCTTTGCTAAGTTGGAGAAGAAGATTGCACAAAGGAGGTATAGCTCATCTTCCTAAATAGATCTAGTTTTTTCTTGACCTTGCTTGTGTTCCTTTGTAAGAAACTTTTTCTATTTAGTAGATTGCTTGGTCGGTTGATGACCCCCAGTTTTTTCCAATGATGGGTTTCTAGGTGAACAATTTCTGGTTTCCATCTCTGTAAATTTTCTGGGTTTGTGTTCTTGATAGTTGACTAGTCATCTGGGTTTGTGTTCTTGTGGTTGACTAGCCATCTTTTTCTGCGATTTGGTGTTTGCTTGATTATGTTGTCTTCACACACTTTCACCATAGTTGTTGCTAGCACAGGGGATGCCTAGATTGATGGGTCCTTCTGAGTGCCTAAGTTGTCACTAGTAATTCTCTAGGCTTGCAGGTACATCTTGATATGCTCTGTGTATGTTATTGTTTGGTATAATTCATATCTGACAATTGACTAGTCATAAGAGTTTTTGGTCAAGGTCTAGAGTGTGTGAAGTTTGTTGCATTCTTGGTTGAATATCTTTTAAATTTACCCATCGTCACCTAAGTACCAATTTCACACGGCTCAACTCAATCAAGATCATTCAAGGTAAATCATGCATTGCATTACATTAGACATCATTACGGTATCACTAGTGAATCTGTATGTGTATGACTAGTCATCTTTTGAGTAACATGTGAACTGCCAACTCATTTGACTTCTCACATGTTACCAGCTGAAGTCCTTACGAATTTTTGTGTTATTCCTGCTCCAACTATTAGCTGCCAAGTCATCTGTTTTTAACCTACCCATTTTGGGTAAAAGAGCAACAAAAGGTTTTGGTAGCCGTCACTTTTAACGAGAGAGGTTTTTGAGAGCGTGATTTTTTGGCTCTCCATTTTTCTCTCTTATTAGTGAGGTCTAAATTTTTTAGAGATAGAGTGGTCTTTTTCTTCTTCTCTACATTTGCAGCTGGGTGAGGTTTTTTCAAATGTGATTTTCAAATAGCTTTTGAAATATGCTTTTATTTTCGAAATCTACTTCACGCAGTAAGAATTTTTTATAGTAAAACTTTTACTCTGCATTCTCTAAGGTTTTCCCTTGTGAGATTTTGAAAATGGTTATTAAAATCTGCATTTGGGTTGGTGTTGACTAGTCATCTTCTTAAATCTAGATTACATTCTTGGTTGATTTCTTCAAGAGTATGGTTTCTTGAAGGAATTGTTCATTTCATTTTAGAATCTATATTTCATTATGTCTGTTCGATTTGGAGTTGAGTCGTCGGTGCCATGGAGTGAAAGAGCTGATGGACTACTGCCACTTACATGAAGGACTGGCTTCTAGCTTAACTAGCTTGGGGAAAAAGATTGCACATAGAGGTATAGCTTTTCCTAAATAGACCTAGGATCATTGAGCTTGTACTTTTTATCTCTGTAAGAATCTTTTTAGTTTAGTAGATTGCCTGGTCAGATGATGAACTCCAGTTTTTCCCAGATGTGGGTTTCTAGGTAACCATTTTGATTCAATGATGTTCACACACTCTACACTTTAGTTGTTGCTAGCACAGAGAATGCCCAAATTGACGGGTCCTTCTGAGTGCCTAGGTTGTCACTAGAACTCTTCTAGGTTTGCAGGTGTTGATTATTGATCTGGATTAATTTTGTATCTTGTCTTCTTATTGATAGATTTATGACTAGTTGTTGACTAGTCATATTGTGTCCAGGATTGTTTGGTTATTTTTGTGGTAAGTTGTCTAAGTAAGTTTTAAATTTACGCCTTCCACCTAAGTACCTACTTCATATGTAAAGTTAATTGATACTTTTGAATCTTAAAATGCAAGACAAGTGATATTTAAGTGATGATTTTGATGCATTTTATAAAGTTGTTATGTCAATTACATGTTGTTTGTTTATTTTATGTTTGAATTTGATTTTTTTTTTTTTTACAAAAGTGCTGCTATTTCCACCCACCTGTCTTATTTTCCCACCCACCTTATCTTCCCACCCACCATATAAATTTTAAAAAACACAATCCTATTTTTACACCCACTAATATTCCTAAAATACCCTTTTAATTATTACCTCATTTCCTCTTTCCTTTATTCTCTTTGCTAATGTCTTCTCTCTCTCTGACGGCCAACACATCTCTCTCTCATTTTTGCTCTATCTTATTTTCCATCTCTCACACTCCATCTCTGTCTCTGTCTCTCATGTTTACTGAACTAAAACAGTTTTTTGCTGTAATTTTTATTTTTATTTTTGTAAATATGGATTATGTGAATATAATCACATTTATGCTATTAGCTTTCTACTATTGTAAATAAACTTTTTCTCCAAAGTTATCCAAGGACCAGAAATCTATTGAACTTTGCAATAAAAAAAATATAATACGGCCATTCTTAAGACATGGGAATGTCAAAGAGTACAAAGCCAAACAGATAAGGGAAAAACAACAGTACTCGCCTTCTCCATCTTTCTTTTTCCTTAAGTCCTTTTCAGTCATTTTACAATAGGGTTAAATTTGTCTTTAAAAGTTTAAATATAAGGTGGGTGGAAAAATAGGACAGATTGGTGGAAATAACAGCACTAAAAAAAAATTCACATAAATATACATAAAAAGTAAAAGGCCACATTTAGGTTGTTCGCCTAGAACCTCCAAAATATAAGAGGCTTTCCGTGTTGTGTGGGCTCAAGCGTAGCCCACATTGATCATTACCTTAGAAGAGGAAGTGACCTCTGCCAGCTCTTTAGAAATAAATCCTACTGCGTGATCTTCATCTTCTCCCGCCCTTATCCAAGGGCAATTTGGTTCGTGCGATGGCTCTTTAGTCCACGTCATCTACGATGAGTAAAACTGATGCCAATGTATGCCTACCAGTTTGTACATAATGCTATGTAAAAATGTAATATAAATGATTGAGAATATACCTTAATTAGCCTCAGTGATGTTAGCCCAAAAAAAACGAGAAATCTTTTTTATTGAACAAAGCTGACGTCGTACGTGTTAACAACTGCGTGCTGCTGATCTGGAGAATATAAATTAGGCATATTAGGCGACAGTGGTCAGTCGTCACCCCAACAAAATCATGTCATCAAAAGAGAATATATCAACAGTGACAAAACAAAATGAATATTAACTAAATAAATCAGAGTGAATCACCTTATATTTTTAATAACAAAAAATAATAAGTCTTACAGCAATTGCCAAATAATTTCAATAATAAAAAAATATGATAAAAATCGCACTAAAAATTAAAGTGCATCACTCTTGCAATTTAGCTCGTTAGAGAATTGTTAAGATAATATACGTAACGCAAACACACAAAAGACACCTCAAATTATTATATTCTTATTGACATTAATTAATTTAAGGGGAGGTGCCTCTCCAAGAAAAGACATGTATTCTTCAATTAGAGTTGTTACTTTGCTTTCAAAAGCGTTTTTAGTGATGATCCACTCTGGCTAGAGATAATAATGAGATTGAGTGTCAAGTTTTTAATATGGCGGGCTTATCTGTTTCAATTCGAATTACCAATTAACAAACTGTACAATGTACATGCATGTGTGTGCACGGTGGGATAAAAGTTAAACCAACATTTTTTTTATTATGAGGATCTTTTCTATTGAAAGGGATGATAGTATATTGAATTCACACACACTACACATATATTAGGATTCGAACCCAGAAAAGCAAAAGGGTGTGAAGAGACTATGGGTAAGTAGAAAGTCTTAAGTTCTTAAGTTCAAATAATATTGATAAATTAAAGTCTTTACGTTGGAAAAAGTCTTAAGTTCGAATCTCATTACACTATTGATAAATATTTAAAAAAGGTAAAATACTTAAGCTTATTCCCCTTTGTCTCAATGGTCAATTTTAATTCGGTTATTTTAGGGTCATATGCATATCTAGTATTCAGAGTTCTCATGACATTAAAAGTTGTTAATCATAGGGATTTTTTTCTTTATATATAAAAGTTAAACAGATAATTGAGTTAGGATTTTCTAATACTCAACTCAAATTCGAACACAACACTACACCAAGATTATCAAGGTTTTATTTATTTATTTATAACCATAAAACAAGACATTATTGGGTTTTCATTAATGCGTCCAACATAAAAAGAAAAACTTTAGTTAGACCGACGCATCAAAAATTCAGGTGGTCTGATAACACTCGGCTAATTACTCGACTCAGCTTGAGCCAACCGACCCAACTCCACTACTCCTCCTACGTTTCGGTGAGCCACCATCCGACGAAGATGCCAATGAATCACAACACTCTCGATAGCGGCGCGTCGAAGTCACTCTGGCCCGGTCGCATGCATCATCAGCTGAGCCAATGAGGTGCGGAAAATTCAGAAGAGCCTTCGAGCCGCGTATCTTAAAGGCGGCTCGATCATAAGCCAAAGCCGCATCCTCAGCCGTTTCGTAGGTCCCGAGCCACATCCTGGCGCCGTTTTTAGCCGGATCCCTAATCTCTGCCGCGTATTTCCCCCAAGGCCTCTGCCGCACTCCCCGGTAATTCTGCCTCCCTCCCGGAGGCGCGTGGGTTTCACGTCCCGCAAGCTTTGGCTGGACATTATCTTTGACCTCAGTTGTGTCGGCCCACGTAGCGGGCGCTGGCTCAGCGACGCCGTTTTGGTTGGGTGGACTCCATGAGGAAGACTCAGAAGACTCACCAGGAACCACTATGCTAAGTTTTCCCAAATCCTCCACTGCTGGTGGGATATTTGGGAAAAGACTTGCCATGTGAGTGCCATGGAAATAATTATCATCAAGAAGATGTTGATGAATGGTCTCCAACAGAGCAAAATCAGATTCCAAGCTACTTTTTTCATCTCCTAACATTTTCCCTTTTTCTGGGGAGGGGACAAAGCTTAGCTTAGGGTTTTCAAATTCTTGTAAATATGTCAACGATGGGTGATTGTGTACGGTTGATGTTTTCTATGCCTTTTGTGTGTGAGTGTATGTGTATATATATAAATATCTCTGTGTGTGTGTGTGTCGGTGTTCAAAAGAAGCAATATAAACGTGCATGTAGTATCAAAGTTAGAATTGTGAAATTGTAGCTTCACTGTACTTTCATTGCTTCTATGAAATTTCCGTCCTAGAGATGGTTTATAATCACGTGGCTTAATTAGAAAACTTTTGTATTAGTAAATCTCATTGCTTCATTTTGGTTCAAAATAGAGAGATATAATTAGCAATCACATTGGTTCATGTTCATTGCTTCCGCCTCTCTTATAATGTTAAAACCAAAAACAACGTTATTAATCAAAACTAATATAACACAGTATATCTCAATCGCTTCTCATGTGTTTATGCTTAAATTTGGTTTAACAGCGGGATGACCTGTTCGAGATTAAGGAGTTTTACCCACTAACTAACATGATCATCAAATACAACACATGCTTTCGCTACTTAAGCTAATAGCTTCACTACTATATGGTTGGTTCTATAACCTGATTTTTCATGTTGGTTTCATTTTGATATAGAAAATGACATTTGAACGGCAGACACAGTAAGCCTATATATCCAGAAACATGCCAGAGAAAATTCAAAATTGTCATGTGTCTGGTATCCCTTGTTGTTGATCGATCGTTGTTCATCATCATATGGTACATGGATGGAAAGAAATTATAATAAAACATTGAGAACCTGCTCGAGTTTACACTGCATTATGAAAGCACATGTAGCCTATTTTGTCTTCAAAGATTTAATTGACTTTTACAAACCATAGAATATTTACCAAGATAGTTTTATCATGAGCCAATACACTAACATAGTTACATCACCACATGTGGGTTATCTACAATCACTGGCGGATTCATGAATTTTTTAGGGAAGGGGCAATATTTAAAAAGTAAGACTAAAAAAAAAGATAATCAAATATCCTTAGGTTTATAATTAATTGACTATAGTCTATATTATATATAAATTAATATTAACAAAATTCATGCCAATTTATCCAATAATTATCAAAATTCATATTAAATCAAAATTAATTTAATCAAAATTAAAATTAAATTATCAATTAATCAAACAAATCATAATTGATCATATCCCACGAGTTGTGCGATTCTCAACCTCTTCCTTTTCGAGTTTATTACTGATCATACTAATACAGAGAAAGCCAAAAAAAAATTTATTAAAAAAATACATTATTAAAAAAAACATATGAAAAAAAAATACGTTTGAAGTAGCAAGAGCCTCCTCCCTTTTCAAGGCCACGCCCACGCCAGGCTTCTTCAAGCCTTCTCACTAATGGGAATTTAAATCAAATTAGTCTTCTTCAAGAGTTATAGTTTGAACGCATCACTTAATTTCAACTTTGGCACGACATCTTTCAAGACTCCTCTGCATATAAGGTAAAGCTGTTTTAGTTGTTTTTATTTTTTTTAGACCTCGTCCAAAATGACGTCGCTTTGGTCAAGATCTAAAAAAACAAAAGGGGATCTGCATGCACACGTTGCACGCTGCAACCCATCCAAGAAGAGAAAGAAAGGTCGCTTGCTCAGTCATTTGTTCAAACAGGTTGTGGGCACGTCCAAGCTAGAGCAAATGGGAAATATTCGGCAACTCTACCGCATTTTCCGGTGAGGAAAGGTGCAACTGCACTTCCTTCTGCCTCTTTGGATCCGCCACTAACTAAAACTAAATATCGAACTCATCACAAATATATCTCGTCCTCTTACGCATAAGATTCAAACTTGAAACTTACTTCAATCAAATAAAGGCAAATAGCTAGTTGCTATATAGTCAATCTCGTTGGAAAATAAAAAGTTTGAAAATGTGGTATCATTATTAATTGATATAATGATCACATACCCCACAGGGTTGAATTGACACATGAAAAGACAGGATTGAATTGGAACATTTGAATTCATACAAGAGGAATGCTAGCAACCTTCTCTCTAACCTTCTCATTTGGGCCTTCTCCCTTTTTTGCTTGACACGTGTCATTCTCTTTACATTTAGAATAATGTCATTAATATATTATATAAGCTAACTTTTGCTTTTCAAGTTGACCCTTATTAAATGTATTCAGTTTATCCAAAAAAAATTCACAACTTTCTTACCATCTTAATAATTTTTTTCTAACGTCAATTATTTATTTATTTATTTATTTTTTAAAACACAAAGGGTTTAGATAGAAAAAAGAAAAAAGAAAAAAGTCCTTTGTGTTTTAAAAAAAAAGGGACATTTCATCTTTTTTGAAAAAAGCAGAAATTTTCTTTAAAAAAATAATTGACGTTTGAAAAAAATTTAATAAGATGGTAAGAAAGTTGTGAATTTTTTTTGGATAAATTGAATACATTTAATAAGGCTAAACTTGGAAAGCAAAAGTTAACTTGTATAATATATTAATGACATTGTTTTAAGTGTAAAGATAATGATACATGTCAAGCAAAAAAAGGAGAAGGTTCGAAGGAGAAGGTTGCTAGCATTCCTGTTACGATATCAAATCTCAATCATAGGAGTAGAATGTTGTGAACCTTTAACTGATTCTGTTTCCTTCTCTAGTCCAGCAATCCCTGTAGTTTAGGCTGTAGTTATTACTTCTTTCATATATGTTTCTATACAATTTGCTTTATATTTTTGTAATTGTTATGACTTAATACACAGTAATATACATCATATTATCACTTTTCACATTGTATTAAAGCGATAGGCTCTGGGACCTTCACCACAATTTGATTTCTTCTTAGCCTTATGGTTGTTTTTTATTATTTTGTTTGAGAGCTCTCTATATCTCAAAATTCTACTCTTTATCATGGATAAATTTTGTTCCACCTTTGCCAATCACGTGGAAACAAACATTGCAGGTTTGGCAAGTTCTTATTTTTCTAATTTTCAAAATTCAGTTTCTTCCAATAATTTTTCATAGGTTTGGATTCTTGATAGTGGTGCAACGGATCACATCACATCCTGACCTTCAATTTTTTCTCAATTGTCGTCTTCATCGACTCTTTCATCTATTAAATTACCTACTGGCGCTAACGCTCCAATAGATTCCATTGGGTCCATATATTTTGATTTCAATATTTCTTTACACAATGTTCTTTGTGTCCCTTCTTTTAGAGTTAATTTAATGTCTATTAGCAAGCTTACCAAATCTCTAAATTGTTGTGTCCTTTTTTTTTATTTTTTTTTATTTTTGTCTTTTGCAGGATTTGGCAACGAAGAAGACAATTGGCTTGGGTAAACAACATGGCGGACTCTATTATATTCACCTTATTCCTACTCACCCATCGTCAAATCACGTCTCCACTTCATCAAATTTTTGGCATCAATGTCTCGGTCACCCTTCACTTGCTCGCCTACAATTACTTACTAAAATAAATCTAGCTATTTCTTCTAACTTTTCTTATCAATGCGATGCATGTCATTATGCACGGCAAACTAGATTGCCTTTTGGTAGAACTTCAATTTCTTCTACTGAACCTTTTTCTTTAATTCATTGTGATATTTGGGGACCTCATAAAGTTCCTTCTCATTCTGGTGCACGCTACTTTTTAACCATTGTAGATGACTATACTCGTTGCACTTGGTTATATTTGATGCGCTTTAAATATGAAACTCCGCCATTAGTAAAATCTTTTCATGCTTTTGTTCGTACTCAATTTAATCACAATATAAAAGCAATACGTGTTGACAATGGCAGTGAGTTTGCTTCTATGCGCCTATTTTTTATGGAGCATGGCATTCTTTATCAAACTACATGTGTTTATACTTCTCAACAAAATGGAGTGGCCGAGCGTAAACATTGTCACATTTTAAATGTTGCTTGTGCTTTACGATTTCATTCAAATGTTCCTTTTAATCTTTTGGGGTGAATGTGTCCTTACTGCTACCTATCTAATTAATCGCATGCCCATTCCTTTGTTGTCAAGAAAGTCCCCTTATGAACTACTCTATGATCGTGCACCCTCATTGGATCACTTGCGAGTCTTTGGGTGTCTTTGTTATGCCATAAACGTTCATCCTATCCAGAAATTTGACTCACATGCCCATCGTTGTATCTTCACCGGCTACCCTGTAGGGCAAAAGGCATATCGCCTTTATGATCTCACCATGAAACAATTTTTCTCTAGTCATGATGTCATTTTTTATGAGAATGTTTTTCCTTATTCAAACTCTGCAGGTGACACACGGCCAAACCTAATTTTTTTGCCATGCATAGACTCTTCTCATGAGCCATTTATGAATCCATCTTTCACATCTCCTCATCAACCTGATGTTTCACAGCATCTTGACCAATCCCATCCTATAGTGGAGGAGTCACCTTATGTTATTCCTGTGGATGAATCTAATAATTCTTCCACCATTCATGCAGACCACCATAACTCCAGTCCTCTTGCCTCACCGGAGCCGGTTTTTCTTCCTCTAACTCTTTCCATCACTTCCACCCCTACAGAACCAAATTCCTTGGTGACGACTCACCGATCTCCTCATCTGGAACCAACCCATCACTCCACTCGTCCTACATGACCTCCTATTTGGCATCATGATTATAAAGTGTCTCATGCTATGTTGCGTACGCAAGTTCCATTGTCCGACTCTATGCCAAGTTCTATGAAAGGTACTCGTTATCCCTGGTCAAATTTTGTTTCTTATGCATGTCTATCACACCGCACATCATTATTTCTTAGCTGTTATTTCAGGTCAAACATAGTCCACTTCTTATGATCAAGCTGCACATGACCCCAATTGGCAACAAGCCATGATTGTTGAGATTACTGCTTTGGAGCAAAATCACACATTGACCTTTACGTCCTTGCCTCATGGTCACAAGCCCATTGGTTGCAAATGGGTGTATAAAATCAAACATCGTTCAGACGGCACCATTGAGCGATACAAAGCTCGCTTAATGGCTAAAGGCTACACCCAACAAGAAGGCCTTAACTATCATGAGATCTTCTCCCCCACCGCCAAACTTGTCACTATCCGATGCTTGCTTGCTATTGCTGCTGCTAGACATTGGCCTCTTCACCAACTCGACGTCCAAAATGCTTTCCTCCATGGACATCTTGATGAGGAAGTATATATACTTCCTCCACCAGGCTTTCGTTGACAGGGGGAGAATCTTATGTGTTGACTCAACAAGTCACTATATGGACTTAAACAAGCATCACGAAACTGGTTTTCCAAATTTTCCAACGCTATAAAAATGGCGGGATTTAATCAGTCCAAGGCAGACTACTCTTTATTCACCAAGTCACATGGCTCATCTTTCACTGCTTTATTGATTTATGTCGACGACATTATAATTACAGGCAATGATCCAGCCTCCATTAAATCTCTCATGGGAGTCCTTTATGAAAAATTTCATATCAAGGACCTAGGTGACCTTAAATAATTTTTGGGCATTGAAGTGTCAAGATCCAAGCGTGGAATTGTCATCTCTGAACGAAAATACACCTTGGATATTCTAAAAGATGCTGGTCTTCTTGGAGCACGCTCATATGATTTGCCCATGGAGCAAAAGTTAAAGATGACTCCAACTGATGGTGATCTGTTACATGACCCTGCTCACTATAGGAGACTTGTTGGGCGCCTTATATACCTTACTATAACCAGGCCAGACATTGTTTACTCAGTACATATACTTAGCTAATTCATGCACCAACCACGCAAGCCACACCTTAAGGCAGTACTTCAAGTTTTGAGATATCTAAAGGGTTCATCCGGCCAAGGACTTTTGTTTCCTTCAAAAAACAACTTAAAGCTAACAGTCTTCTGTGACTCTAACTAGGCTAGCTGCCTAACTACGAGAAGATCTACAACTGGGTATTGTACCCTTCTTGGGGACGCACTAATATCATGGAAAACAAAGAAGCAGAATGTTGTCTCACGCTCTTCAGCCGAAGCCGAATATCGAGCCATGACGCATGCAACTTGTGAGATAACTTGGTTGAGATACTTGTTACAAGATTTTCAAGTCAATATTCAAGAGCCCGATGTTTTGCATTGTGACAATCAAGCTGCACTACACATAGCAACTAATCTAGTTTTTCATGAGCGTACAAAACATATCGAGTTGGATTGTCATTTGGTACGGGAGAAAATTCAATTCGGGATGATTACTGCTGCATACACGCCTTCTTCACACCAGTTGGCAGACATCTTCACAAAGTTAGGAGTTCAATATGATTATTCACAAGTTAGGAGTTCTGAACCTTCACTCTCCAACTTGAGGGGGAGTGTTACGATATCAAATCTCAATCATAGGAGTAGATTGCTGCATACCTTTAACTGAATCTGTTTTCCTTCTCTAGTCCAGCAATCCTTGTAGTTTAGGCTGTAGTTATTACTTCTTTCCATTTATGTTTCTGTACAATTTGCTATATATCTTTGTAATTGTTATGACTTAATACACAAGTAATATACATCAGATTATCACTTTTCACAATTCCCTTTCATGCAAATGTAAGCAAAAAGAAAATAACTAAACAAATATCAAGTATTTATTTTATCATAATTTTTTATGTTAATTGGGTTCTTTGAAAACCATTTAGGGCTTAGATCATCGGAACTGTATTTTCTCTTCTTTATTTTTTTAGTCTGAAAAAGGTGAGTGCAGGAGAAAGCATGCATGCCTCCAAAATTATCGTATCTTCAGTTGCTTGTTTTAACACGAAATTTTGCAGCTAATTAATATCAAATGCACATGTATTATCAAAGTTAGAATTGTGAAATTATAGCTTCACTGTACTTTCATTGCTTCTAGGAAATTTCCGTGGTCGTCCTAGAGATGGTTTATAATCACGTGGCTTAATTAGAAAACTTTTGTATTAGTAAATCTCATTGCTTCATTTTTGTTCAAAATAGAGAGATATAATTAGCAATCACATTGGTTCATGTTCATTGCTTCCGCCTCTCTTATAATGTTAAAACCAAAAACAACGTTATTAATCAAAACTAATATAACACAGTATATCTCAATCGCTTCTCATGTGTTTATGCTTAAATTTGGTTTAATAGCGGGATGACCTGTTCGAGATCGAGGAGTTTTACCCACTAACTAACATGATCATCAAATGCAACACATGCTGTCGCTACTTAAGCTAATAGCTTCACTACTATATAGTTGGTTTCTATAACCTGATTTTTCATGTTAGTTTCTTTTTGATATAGAAAATGACATTTGAATGCCAGACACAGTTAGCTTATATATCCAGAAACATGCTGCAGAAAATTCAAAATTGTCATATGGTACATAGATGGAAAGAAATTATAATAAAACATTGAGAACCTGCTCGAGTTTACACAGCGACATGAAAGCACATGTAGCCTATTTTGTCTCCAAAGATTTAATTGACTTTTACAAACCATAGAATATTTACCAAGATAGTTTTATAATGAGCCAATACACTAACAACGTTAGATCACCACATCTGGCCGGTTAGCTATAATCATTGGCTGATTCATGAATTTTTTAGGGAAGGGGCAACATTTAAAAAGTAAGACTAAAAAAAATGGATAATCAAATACCCTTAGGTCTATAACTAATTGACTATAGTCTATATTGTATATCAATTAATATGAACAAAATTCATGTCAATTTATACAATAATTATCAAAATTCATATTAAATCATCAATTAATCTAATCAAAATGAAAATCAAATTATCAATTAAACAAACAAATTATAATTGATCATACTTTGTGAGTTGTGTGTTGCGCAACCTCTTCCTTCTCGAGTATGTCACTGATCATACTAATATAGAGAAAGCTAAATAAAAAAATTATTAAAAAAAGACATTATTTAAATTTTAAAAAAAAAGAAAAAGAACCATAAGTTAAAAAAACATACGAAAAAAATACATTCGAAGTTGAAGTCTGAAGCAGCAATAGCCTCCTTCTTTTCAAGGCCACGCCCATGCCAGGCTTCTTCAAGGCTTCTCTTTAATGGGAATTTAAATCAAATTAGTCTTCTTCAAGAGTTATAGTTTGAACGCATCACTTAATTTCAACTTTGGCATGGCATCTTTCAAGACTTCTCTGCGTATAAGGTAAAGTTGCTTTAGTATTTTTTAAATTTTATTTAGACCTCGTTCAAAACGACTTTGTTTTGGCCAAGATCTAAAAAAAATTAAAAGGAATGCACATGCACGCGCTACGCTCAGCAGCGTAGCAAAGAAGAGAAAGAAAGGTCGCTTGCTCAGTCATTTGTTCAAACAGGTTGTGGGCACCTCCAAGCCAGAGAAAATGGGCAATATTTGGCAACTCTAAAGCATTTTCCGACCAGGGGAGGTGCAGCTGCACCTCATTGCGCCTCTTTGGGTCCATCACTAACTACAACTAAATATTGAACTCATCACAAATATATATCGTTCTCTTATTCACATGATTCAAACTTGAGACTTTCTTCAATCAAATAAAGAAAAATAGTTAGTTGCTTTATAGTCAATCTCATTGGAAAATAAAAAGTTAGAAATGTGGTATCATTGTTAATTATATTGGTATAATGATCATACAGGCCCTACAGGGTTGAATTGACACATGAAAAGACAAGATTGAATATGAACATTTGAATTCATACAAATGTAAGCGAAAAGAAAATAACTAAACAAATATCAAGTATTTATTTTATCACAATTTTTTCATGTTAATTGGGTTCTTTGAAAACCATTTAGGGCTTAGATCATCGGAACTGTATTTTCTTTTCTTTTTTCTTTTTTTTTGTCTGAAAAAGGTGAATGCAGGAGAAAGCATGCACGCATGCTCCAAAATTATCGTATGTTCAGTTGCTTGTTTTAACACGAAATTTTGCAGCTAATTAATATCAAATGCACATTTAAGTAGTCTTAAGAGCCAGCAGATAAGAAGACTTTGGTAGTCAACTAATTTCGGTTGACTGGTCAACACTGAGGATCTTGATATAATATTGGATTAGTTCTTTTGATCATGTGGTTTTAATAACATTTGTACCTTTCCTTATTCAGAATCTTCACCCAAATTTTTACAGGATTAGAAGTCAAAGTTGAGAGCAGGTGTGGGCTTAATCAAGTTGGTCAGAGTGGATGTGCTCCCCATTTTTCATTCGATTTTAAATCTCCCTTCCCGTAGTTTAGATTAGTTTAAAATACATTAAACTCAGCTAACTAAGTTGTGTACAATAATTAAATAAGTTTAACATAAACTTATTAACCATGCATGCCATAAATCAGCATAGCTCTTACACCATGGGAAAGGAAAGAGTAGTTTAACTCGAAGCTTTGAAAACGTTTTACTCAACCACTGAATTATATAAGTCAAGTGCTCCCGTGCATTGTCGTGTATCGGCTGACGTAATTCTTCTAACGCGTAGATGAGGGAGAATAAATAATTATTTGAAGAAGGAATAATAAAAAGACACCATGTGTATCATATGCTATAAATATTAAACCCTAAAATAAATAAATAAATAAAACATTGTTTCTTTTAAAATTGCACGTGCATTTTATAATATAATAACAATTATGAAACCCTAAAATGAATAAAACAAAAGTAAAATGTCCCAGTTGTGGACTTTGAAGATGGAAAGTTGAAACAAGTGGGCATCTGGTTTTCTGTGCATTTGAAATGGCTTTAACCAGAAACCACGTGTTTCATAGGGTAAACCTTATTTTATTTAGAAATAGTAATAGCTATTTTGAATCCCTCTTTCTACATTAACGCAAACTTATTGGCATTCTTTGAATCCGTAATACAAACTCAAATAAAAGTCTAAGTAATGCATGTCAGAACATGCAAGAATTCTCACCCATTTTTCAAAAGAAGGCAAATCATGTTTTTAATCTCATTCACGAGTGTGCCAACTTCTTATAAATCATGGTCAATGAAAAGAATGATTTAATTCCTTATAAACTTTTACAAGGTTTCTTAACTTTTAACGAGGAATATTTCTTCAAATCCTCACACAATCACTGCCCTACCTTTATTTTTGCTTTTCAGTATACAACAAGAAAAAAGAAAAAAGAAATCTAAATCCAAGATAAAGTAAGAAAATCGATCACCCATCCTAATCTCAACTACACCAAAATGATACTAGAGCAATAGTTGGGGGACCATTGGGATCAATAACCCTTTTAGAGAAGGATACTCACCTAAAAATACGGTTTTGTCCCTCGATTTCACGAAATAATACATAGACTTTGACGGATGGACCATCTTGGTACAAAATAAAAAGTTTAAGGACATTTGAAATGAAAATTTTAGTTGGTGGACCAAAATGATACTGGAGCAATAGTTGGAGGACCATTTAGGTCATTAACCCTTAAAAATAAATACATGATAATTATTCTCCGACCAAAAAAATACATGACAATAATGATCCATGCCCATGGGTGTAACAAGAACCTATAATAAGACAAGCAATGAGCCGTTGCTGGTGATGTGGAGCCTTAACCCTATTAGGCTGCAAACGTCACCTGGATTCCAACATACCACGCTCTAAAACTCTAAATTGCAGATAATTCGATTAATTTAGTTAATTATAAACTAATATAGTGCTAATTAAGTATCTGATAATTTCAGCACGTGACTAAAAAGGCACAGGATTCCCTTAATTATTGCACGCACTGCCATGAAACTTGAAGCTTCATTGAAGCTGCATCCTATATCATATTAAGCTTATATAAACCAAATGCCCTCCGAATAAACTCTCTCCATTTAAGTCGTTCATAAGAAACTCAAAACTTCGACCCACTCAATTTAATATTACGTGTGTATTAGTTTATAGTGCAGAAACATGTACGGAGAGAAAACCCTAGAACTAGAATCTGACTTGGCTTTTCTTGAGTCCATTCGCCACCATCTTCTTGATGATTTGGAGCCTCAGGCAATGAGTTTTACTGGAAATAATGTCCCCGTGATTTTCCCGCTTTCCGTGACGGAGAATGGGTGGGAGTCGTCTCTTAAAGCCGAACACGTAGAGAACGACGTGCAGGGCATGCTTGGAGCTTTGAATGACGTAAATTACGTCGGATGTGTTGTGTCCGATGACAAGATTGAATTGAAGGAACAAAAAGTGGCGGCTCGTGCTCTTCACCCGCCTAGGGAGGAGAGGCATTATAGAGGTGTGAGAAGGAGGCCGTGGGGGAAGTTCGCTGCGGAGATAAGGGATCCGGCAAAGAACGGCGCGAGAGTATGGCTTGGGACTTACGAGACGCCAGAGGACGCGGGGCTGGCTTATGATCGAGCAGCGTTTAAGCTGCGCGGCTGTAAAGCCAAGCTGAATTTTCCTCACTTGATTGGCTCGAGTAACGTGGAGCCCGTCCGGGTGAACCCTAAGCGGCGCCGCTCGCTTGACCTCTCCTCTTCGTCGTCCTCATCGGATAATGGGTCTCCCAAGCCAAAGCTAAGCAAGGATGGAGTTGATAATCACTTGGCAGCTTGAGATGGAGCATAATGGGGTTAATTACTATAAATAAGTTAAAATAAATTAATAGGAGTTATGAAAATGCTTGTATTAATTAATTTGCTGGGAAATGGTTCTTACTGCTAGAGCTGTATTTTATTTTTACAAGGAAGAAATTTAGGGCTCATCACTTGATCTTGTTCTTGAGCAGGGAGCAGCATAAGGGCAAAATGTTCATCCTCATTTCGACTAATAATTAACCTAAACGGACCACTTCGGTTGTGTCTTCTCCTTTTTTTTAAATTTTTCATCGAAGTTCTCTATGTAATCTTTCTGAGATTGCTAAAACATGGAAATTAAAATTATTTTTTAGGCTCGTTTTTCAATCAATAAGTAATTAACTCGACTTTGAGAAACTTTTCCGTACTTCTTCAAGGCATGTTAGTCAAAATAGGATTCCACCGGGTTGATTTGCAGGTTTTTATATGAAGGTAATTGAGATATATGTTTCAAATATTTCAACATGAGATACAAGTTTGGAAGCTATGTAGCAAATGTGGCAGGATCACTCAGTGAGAGATCGATTCTTAGGATTATAATATGATAAAAGATGGATGAGAGAAATTGAAAATAATGGATGAATTGAAGAGAGATTGTGAAAATAGAGAATAATATAGTTGCAGATTAAGAGCTCGGTGGATAAAATACATAGTATGTCCTTCCATGGAGAAACTAGGAGTAGGCGCTGCTATGTGGGCAAAAATGAAGCGTGTTGGGATTTCTACTTGGAAGAGGAATTGTGTTACCTCATTTAATTTCATTATGAGTTTTGTTTTTTTTTAATGTTGGACGCCAATAAATATATATAATATAAAAAATTTTAAAGCCCCCTTACTTGGAGGCCCATGGCCATGGCCCTTCCCGCCCACTCCCAAGGCTCGCCCTGGTTCTTTTACCAAAAAAAAGATGAATTCAGAAAAATAAAAAAATAAAGAGACACAGATATATATATATATATATATATATATGGAAAAGTAAGACAAAAAATTACAATTAAGATGATTGGGGAGGTAAATTTTGGGGGATGGGAAGGACATAACTTGCAATTTTTACTACATCGTCAAGAACTTACTGTGGCATGTACCAAAAGTTCATGAACTTAAATCAAGGAGAAGAAAAACAAATAATAATACATATGAATCAAAATAAAAGCAACATGAATTCTTCGTGCCAAAGCATTAACATGTTTCGTTTGTACTATGTAGAAAAAGAAAACTATCTTTCTCTGCAAATCGCTATTTGACATGTATGTATAAAATTTTCTCTTTTTGTATTTTTAATAAAATATTTTTACATGTGTCAAATTGTAATTTGCAAGAAGGGGACTATATTATGAAACAACACATCATGGATATCATGGGACTTAAGCAGCATTGCAATGTCTCCTTGTCCATAGTAAGATGCTCAGCTCAACCACAGAGCGCCCTCACTCTGGGACTTGGCAAGAAGCGTAGCTCACATACTTGAGCCACAAATACATATGATTTACAGCCTTTTAATTATACTTCACTCCTAATTCAGATGGAAATATCCAACCTAAACTAAAAGTTGCTTCTTGGGCCCAACTTATTTTCTGAGGAATTTTACCTACATGATTTTAATTGTCTTTTAATTCTAGACTTTGGATTTATTTGGACAGTTATTAAGGATTTTTTCTTTTTTCTTTTTTCTTTTTTCTTTTATATAAGTGATATTTGGTGAAGGAGGTTTTCTCACACACACACTGTGAAGGTGTTATAAAGGTTTGAACCTAAAACCACTATTCAACAAGTTAAGACCATTTTTCCTTCGGTTAGACTCCGTTAACAAACATCCTCTCATCATAATTCTTCCTTATAGCCTCACTCAGGTTTTTCCCGCATCAACACATAAGCTTTAAAATCGAAAGCTTTTGGGCTTTAAGCCCTTGAAGACTGTAATTCCTCAAACTCTTACGAAAATTCTAATTACAGTTTTACTTTCTTCACCTTAAAATTTTATATAAATCTATCCAATCAGCTATCTCATTAATTGAAGATCACAGAAATTTGGAAATTGCACAGATAAGTTTTACTCAAGTCATGGAGACTTTTCCTCTTCACTTTTTGTATCTTCCTGTAAATTTATTCCGTCGTCACTGTCACATCTCTCCCATTCTTGATCTCACTACTACAAAAAGTGAAAAAAACGACGGTTATATTTTAAAAGATGACGTATAAATTATGTAATACGGCTCTCATTTATTTGGACATGACGTTGTTTATTTAGTACAACGTCTTCTGTAGAAATACATGCGTCGTAAGTAATGACCCTAATATCTATTTCCACGTCATCATTAATAGAAAAATCGAAGTGGAAAATTTATTTCACGACGGTTGTTGAAACTGTAGACGTAGTAGGAATCAATAACGTCATCGATTATGTATTTAAAGACGTCATAGTTTTATGTGTCATGAAAGTTATATTTAACGGCTGTGAGTTTTAGTTCTTGTCGTTGTATGTATATCTTGCGGCCATGTTCTGTTAAAATATGTCATATGTTGCCTTTTAAACTACGTTTTTTTTGTTAGAATTGGTCGTTCATTCTCATCATTGACTGTTTTTTTTTAACTCTTTTTCCAGTACACAGACGTCGGTTATTATTTGTTAATGACGTTGTTTGTTTTAATAACAACGGTGATTTAGCGTCGTGATTTGATTTGGGAAAAGATGTCGGTCGATTTCACGACCATTTGAAAACGGAATACACGACGGTGAATTCCCGTCGTCTTTTTCCTTTTTTGTAGTAGTGTCTACATCCATGGCAAGTCAAAAAGAAAAATAAAATAAGGAAATCAATAGCCATCGGCCCATCGCTTAATATGACGATTCTGAAATATAAAAACAAATTATTGTAAATGCATGAGACAAGAGTGACTCAGCGCTGCCTAGGATGTGGAATGTCAGCTCTAAACGTCACTTTGGAACAATGGACTTTATTTATTTATATCAATCGTCAATATAAACATCTTATGTTGCTAGATCTCTTGCAATACACTATTGTATTAGTTTGAAAATTTTGCATTGACTTGTTGAAAGCTTGGTAGTTCAAAGCTGGAAGCTAATGGGTTGCTTTGAAATATTTGTACGAAAGCGTAATTTATTTCGTCTCTTCGGACAGAAAAATCCTTTTATTAATAGTATTCATAAAAGTAAGTAGCCTCTAGTTCAAGTAGTTGACAATATTTTATTTTTATTTCCGAAATCATGTGTTCGATCATCTATTCCTAATATCGTTTGTATAAAAAGAATTACATTCACAACACACTTATGAAAAAATATGTTTGTTAATGGATTGTTTTTCGCTAATATTCATGCGCGTGCTGAATTTGACATGGTCTCAGATTGGAGACCCTGCCTTACACTTATTTGATGTATGATCATGTATTTGTATTCGTATAAAGCCGAAGAACATACTTATGTTTTCAAACATAAATGGAGTAAAAGAAAAAATAACTAAAATTGCAAGATTTTCCTTTGGGTGGTAAATTTTGGGGGCCGGGAGACTTGAAATTTTATACCACATCAGCGTTCAGACATAGAGTGGCACCAAAAGTGAACTTAAAGCCTAGAGGAGAAGAAAAAACTAGTACTATAATTTAATGTTGAAAAAAAACAAAATAAAAGAGAGCATGAATTCCACAAGGTCTATTCCCAATTATAGTAAACGATATATTCTGTTTGTTAATATAGAAAACACAATCAATCAAACGTGACTCTGACTTCAACGTTTTCGGTATACAAAACACAACCAATCAATTCTTTAGTTTAAAAATAAAATAAAATTCAACATGTTGTTGTGTTTGGTTATTAGAAACGATTTAATCATATTAAGCACGATAGTTGCTCTGTATTTTTGTTTGCTCATCAATAACTACTATCGCTTATTATAAATAATTTTAAAAAAAATTTAAAAATAAAAATAAAAAAAGAACATAAGTAATTACTTGGTCAACAATAGTCTTCATGAGGAATGAATTAGGAAACAGACATAATGGATATCATGATAAGCAACTTGGTTTTCATGGAAAGATTCTCTGACCACATAAAGCATATAATAATCTCTGCCATGCTCTTCATGGCCGCCCATACTCTGAGACTCGAGAGAGGAGGCTCACATGTCCACTTGCCCACAAATTCAATTCAATATGAAAAACAACCTTAACCTAGTATTCTAATCCTCGTAATTAATGTAAAACGTGAGTATTTATATAAGTTATTTAAAAGAAATCATTCGAGTGATAAAGCACTTAGCTTTACACTTACCCCAAGAGTTAAACTGTTAGTTGAGTGTAAAAAATCCCTCATTCTGTAGTTTAAACTATCGTTTGTATTAAAAAACAAAAATAATTCTCCTTGTAAGTCACAAAAATTTCCCTAACTACCATAAGATACGAAACTTTATTTTTTGGTCAAAAAAATCACGTTTCCTTGCGAATCACATTGCTAGTAATTTACGAGATTAGAAAAATACATTACACAATTTAGTATGGAGATTAATTTATATTTGAAAATAAGTCAAAAAATTTGTCTGAAACTGATTTAAAAGACAAGTTGTATTTTTAGTTTATATGTGTACGGCAATGAGAAAAGGAGCATATGTTTCAATCTGAATCAATTTTATAGTAAATATATATAAAAAATAAAAATAGCATTTGATTGGTTAGTAAGTACAATGAAAAGGCAACCAATGTAAATAATTTTCTTGTCAAAAGGTCAAAGTTTTAATTGTAAAAGCTAGTACATCTAACCACTCCAACTATGAAGGACCTTTTGATAAAGTATTATTAAAGTTTATAAAATAAAATAAAAACTATGAAGGACCAGGTAGTTTGAATTATATGGAATTTTTCATGAAAGTGTATATTAACCGAGTCTAATTAAGGTAACTAGAACATGACGTCATGTGACATGTCATCAGGGGCCTTTTATAATTATTTTGTTGGGTTACTTTGGAAGAA